ATTTATGCACCCAACATAGGAGCACCTCAATACATAGGGCAAATACTAACAGCCATAAAAGGGGAAATCGACAGTAATACACAGTCCTAGTAGGGGACTTTAACACCCCACTTTCACCGATCGATAGATCATCCAAAATGAAAATAAATAAGGAAACAGAAGCTTTAAATGATACATTAAACAAGATGTACTTAATTGATATTTATAGGACATTCCATCCAAAAACAACAGAATACACATTCTTCTCAAGTGCTCATGGAACATTCTCCAGGATAGATCATATCTTCGGTCACAAAACAAGCCTTGGTAAATTTAAGAAAATTGAAATCGTATCAAGTATCTTTTCCGACCACAATGCTGCAAGACTAGATATCAATTACAGGAAAAAATCTGTAAGAAATACAAACACATGGAGGCTAAACAACACACTACTTAATAACTAAGAGATCACTGAAGAAATCAAGGAGGAAATCAAAAATAGCTAGAAACAAATGAGAATGAAAACACAATGACTCAAAACCTATGGGATGCAGCAAAAGCAGTTCTAAGAGGGAAGTTTATAGCTATACAGTCTACCTTAAGAAACAAGAAACATCTCAAATAAACAACCTAACCTTACACCTAAAGCAATTAGAGAAAGAAGAACAAAAAAGCCCCAAAGTTAGCAGAAGGAAAGAAATCATAAAGATCAGATCAGAAATAAATGAAAAAGAAATGAAGGAAACGATAGCAAAAATAAATAAAACTAAAAGCTGGTTCTTTGAGACGATAAACAAAATTGATAAACCATTAGCCAGACTCATCAAGAAGAAAAGGGAGAAGACTCAAATCAATAGAATTAGAAATGAAAAAGGAGAAGTAACAACTGACACTGCAGAAATACAAAGGATCATATGAGATTACTAAAAGCAACTCTATGCCAATAAAATGAACAGCCTGGAAGAAACGGACCAGTTCTTAGAAATGCACAACCTTCCGAGACTGAACCAGGAAGAAATAGAAAATATGAACAGACCAATCACAAGCACTGAAATTGAAACTATGATTAAAAATCTTCCAACAAACAAAAGCCCAGGACCAGATGTCTTCACAGGCGAATTCTATCAAACATTTAGAGAAGAGCTAACACCTATACTTCTCAAACTCTTCCAAAATATAGCAGAGGGAGGAACACTCCCAAACTCATTCTACGAAGCCACCATCACCCTGATACCAAAACCAGACAAAGATGTCACAAAGAAAGAAAACTACAGGCCAATATCAGTGATGAATATAGATGCAAAAATCCTCAACAAAATACTAGCAAACAGAATCCAACAGCACATTAAAAGGATCATACCTTATGATCAAGTGGGGTCTATCCCAGTAAGGCAAGGATTCTTCAATATACGCAAATCAATCAATGTGATACACCATATTAACAAATTGAAGGAGAAAAACCATATGATCATCTCAATAGATGCAGAGAAAGCTTTCGACAAAATTCAACACCCATTTATGCTAAAAACCCTGCAGAAAGTAGGCATAGAGGGAACTTTCCTCAACATAATAAAGGCCATATATGACAAACCCACAGCCAACATTGTCCTCAATGGTGAAATGTTGAAACCAGTTCCACTAAGATCAAGAACAAGACAAGGATGTCCACTCTTGCCACTATTATTCAACACAGTTTTGGAAGTCCTAGCCCTGGCAATCAGAGAAGAACAAGAAATAAAAGGAATCCAAACTGGAAAAGAAGTAAAATTGTCATTGTTTGCAGATGACATGATACTATACATAGAGAATCCTAAAGATGCTACCAGAAAACTACTGGAGCTAATCAATGAATTTGGTAAAGTCACAAGATACAAAATTAATGCACAGAAATCTCTTGCGTTCCAATACACTAATGATGAAAAATGTGAAAGTGAAATTAAGAAGACACTCCCATTTACCATTGCAAACAAAAGAATAAAATATCTAGGAATAAACCTACCTAAGGAGACAAAAGACCTGTATGCAGAAAATCAAAGATGATACAAATAGATGGAGAGATATACCATGTTCTTGGATTGGAAGAATCAACATTGTGAAAAATGACTCTACTACCCAAAGCAATCTACAGATTCAATGCAATCCCTATCAAACTACCACTGGCATTTTTCACAGAACTAAAACAAAAAAATTTCACAATTTGTATGGAAACACAAAAGACCCCAAGTAGCCACAGCAATCTCAAGAAAGAAAAACGGAGCTGGAGGAATCAGGCTCCCTGACTTCAGACTATACTACAAAGCTACAGTAACCAAGACAGTATGGTACTGGCACAGAAACAGAAATATAGATCAATGGAACAGGATAGAAAGCCCAGAGATAAACCCATGCACATATGGTCAACTTATCTTTGATAAAGGAGGCAAGAATATACAGTGGAGAAAAGACAGCCTCTTCAATAAGTGGTGCTGGGAAAACTGGACAGCTACATGTACAAGAATGAAATTAGAACACTCCCTAACACCATACACAAAAATAAACTCAACATGGATTAAAGGGCTTCCCTGATGGCACAGTGGTTGAGAGTCCACCTGCCGATGCAGGGGACACCGGTTCGTGCCCTGGTCCGGGAAGATCCCACATGCCACAGAGCAGCTGGGCCCGTGAGCCATGGCCCCTGAGCCTGCGCGTCCAGAGCCTGTGCTCCGCAACCGGAGAGGCCACAACAGTGAGAGGCCTGCGTACTGCAAAAAAAAAAAAAAAAAAGGATTAAGGACCTAAATGTAAGGCCAGACACCATCAAACTCTTAGAGGAAAACATAGGCAGAACACTCTATGACATAAATCACAAAAAGATCCTTTTTGACCCACCTCCTAGGGAAATGGAAATAAAAACAAAAATAAACAAATGGGACCTAATGAAACTTCAAAGCTTTTGCACAGCAAAGGAAACCATAATCAAGACCAAAAGACAACCCTCAGAATGGGAGAAAATATTTGCAAATGAAGCAACTGACAAAGGATTAATCTCCAATACATACAAGCAACTCATGGAGCTGAATGTCAAAAAAACAAACAACCCAATCCAAAAATGGGCAGAAGACCTAAATAGACATTTCTTCAAAGAAGACATACAGATTGCCAACAAACACATGAAAGATGCTCAACATCATTAATCATTAGAGAAATGCAAATAAAAACTACAATGAGGTATCACCTCACACCAGTCAGAATGGCCATCATCAAAAAATCTGCAAACAGTAAATGCTGAAGAGGGTGTGGAGAAAAGGGAACCCTCTTGCACTGCTGGTGGGAATGTAAATTGACACAGCCACTATGGAGAACAGTACGGAGGTTCCTTAAAAAACTAAAAATAGAACTACCATACGACCCAGCAATCTCACTACTGGGCATATACCCTGAGAAAACCATAATTCAAAAAGAGTCATGTACCAAAATGTTCATTGCAGCTCTATTTACAATAGCCAGGACATGGAAGCAACCTAAGTGTCCATCATCGGATGAATGGATAAAGAAGATGTGGCACATATATACAATGGAATATTACTCAGCCATAAAAAGGAACGAAACTGAGTTATTTGTAGTGAGGTGGATGGACCTAGAGATTGTCATACAGAGTGAAGTAAGTCAAAAAGAGAAAAACAAACACCGTATGCTAATACATATATATGGAATCTAAAAAAAAAGAAAAGAAAAGAAAAGAAAATGGTCAGAAGAACCTAGGGGAAAGACAGGAATAAAGATGCAGACCTACTAGAGAATGGCCTTGAGGATACAGGGAGGGGGAAGGGTAAGCTGGGACAAAGTGAGAGAGTGGTATGGACATATATACACTACCAAACGTAAAATAGATAGCTAGTGGGAAGCAGCCGCATAGCAAAGGGAGATCAGCTCAGTGCTTTGTGACCACCTAGAGGGGTGGGATTGGGAGGGTGGGACGGAGGGAGATGCAAGAGGGAAGAGATATGGGGACATTGCATATGTATAACTGATTCACTTTGTTATAAAGCAGAAACTGACACCATTGTAAAGCAATTATACTCTGATAAACATGTTAAAAAAACAATATATGTGGCTAAAACAAATAAAGAAAAAACCTATTGGGACTTTTTGTGCACAGATTTTTTACAATCCCTTAGCCTTATTGAACTTAGTTGTCTACTTAATCCTCAATGTTTCTGAATGAATTGCTGCTTTGGCCTCACCTTTTCTGGAGACTATTTATTGAGTATTTACTGCTTACCAGTCCAAGACTAAGCATTTTACATGCATTATTTAATTTGATTCCTATAATAATCCAATGAGGCAATGTTTTCCTCTCCCTTAATTCTCCACCCCAACCCCAAGTTTACAGAGAAAATGGAGGTCCCGAGAGGAGAGACAGCTGTATGAGGTCATGTAATTTGTAAGTACAGATTAGGGGTTCAGTCAGAGGTCAGTTTCACTCTAAAGGCTCTTAATCACTGCAGTAGACCACCTTCTCTTGAATGGGTTTCGCATTGTTATTTGGGAGGCAAATTTTAGCTCAAGATACTATTCAGGGCCACTGTTTTCAAGGCTTTGAAAAATACTTCACATACCTCCCAGGTGATTTTGCTGCCTGGAATACAAATGGGATATCTTCTTAGTTGAGCAGAAGGAGAGGGCATTGCAGTATGGCCACTGTCTCCCTCTAAGGTTCCACAGGTCCCTCTTCCTTGCTGCACCTGATTGGAAGGTCTTCTGGTGGAAGGAGCCACATGGAATGTTCTATTCACTTCCCACATCAGAATTCGCTTCTTTCTTGAATTCACTTTTGTACCCAAACAGACACAAATAAGTTCCTTGAAAATACACAGTTAATGGTCTTTGAGCTGTCCAGTTCTGTACTTCAGAGTGTGACCTTATGGACATTTTCTTAGAATACTAATAGCATATAGTATTTATACTATACTTTTATAATCCTTAGTATGTTACAAGCATGGGTCTAAGCATTCATATTAGTTTCCTGTGGCCTTTATCAAATTACCATAAACTAAGTGACTTAAAACAAAGGAAATATATTGTGTCACAGTCCTAGAGGCCAGATGTCCAAACTCAGTATCATTGGGCTGAAATTAAAATGTCACCAAGGCCATGCTCTCTCTGGAGACTCTGGAGGAGGATCTACTTCTTTCCTCTTCCAGATTCTGGTGGGTACTGGCATCCCTTGGCTTGTGGTCATCTCATTCCAATCTCCACCTCCATCTTCACATCACCTTCTTCTATGTCTGTCTGTGGTCAAATCTTCCTCCCTCTTATATATACCTGTGATACATTTATATACATGTGATCACTTCTAGTGTCCACCTGGATAATCTCAGCATCTCAAGATCCTTTACTTAATCACATCTACAAGGTCACTTTTTACCATATAAAGAGACATTTACAGGTTCCAGGGATTAGGACCAGATATCTTTGGGAGCCATGATTCAGACCGCTACAGCACATTACACATATAATTCACTTAATCACACAGCCATTGAGAGAAATATAGTTATTATCTCCATTTACTGGTGAGGAAATTGAGACAGAGAGAGATTATACAACTCATCCAAGATCAAATAGTCATTAAATGGCAGTATCTGGATTTGAACCCAGGTTCCATCATGCCTATAGAAGAATTCTCCAGACTGATGTGCCAAGATAGAAATCAAATGAAAAGAAGTTTCTCCTTTAAAGGCAGTACTCCTAGGTTATGGAATTTCCCCACTTTCTCATCTTTGGCAGGACTCTTTGTTCTATTGTGTACTTTATCATCTTATATACACAAAATCACTTTAAGTGCAGGGTTTTTAGAATAATGTGAGAAAAGTATGCTATATAAACTGTATCCAGCTGAAGTATTTGCTGAATGAATGGACTTTCAACCAATCTATCAAAGGAACACCATTGTTGGCAATAAGCAGTAAATAAGCTAGATACTCCTTAACATTTAAAATTTTTAAGACAGACCCTTCTGGAAAAGCTTTCTAGACCCCTGTGCTCCCAATATTTCAGCCCTAAATCTTCTTCGGTAACCCACAGAACCCAGGGAAGGGTTTTCTAGACTAAACATCCCATGGTATCAAATGTGTCACACTTCTAGTAGACAATCCTGTAACCTTTGGGCTATGGAGACCTATAGCCTTTGCCCTTTGAAGTGTTTGACCTACCTATCTCTGCTTTTCTTGCTCAGGTGAGGCTATTTTAACCAATCAGCTTTTCTCTTCCAGGAAGCTCTATATTTATATCCTTTCCCAAGTCTACATTCTTTATAGCACCATTCAAACCAAATCATTTTCTATTTCTCTCCCCCATACACCCAGTTTCACCAAAGCAAATTTCATAGTTCTTCACATCACCACGCTCTTAGGGTCAGGTCACTTGGCCCAAAGGCCACATCTTCCTTCCACAGAATCTCATTCTCCTTTGACCAAACTAGCACAAGAGCTCACATGCACTTCAGTGTATAGCCTTAAGCTGTCCCACCAGTTCTGAGACACCACAGGTATTGCTATTCTACAAAATACTGGAAAAATGTATTCAAAGAATAATACCACATCATATAAAAATATTTTTTAAAATAATATATGTTGGTAGGTGGAATAAGACAATCCTTCATATATTTCCGGTCAGCATGTAAATTAATATAATCCTTTTAAAACACAACTTGACATCATGTATCAAAAACCTTGAACATATTAATGATCTTTGATCTAAGAATTCTATTGTGTAAATTGCTGTAGGTTAAGGTGCTGTAACTGCTTCCAAACATGTAAACTGGTTTAAACACAAAAGAGGTTTATTTCTCACTCATGTGACAGCCCTGGTAGGGTGACTTTCCTAGACATCCTGATTTAAAGATGAGGAGGCTTCTTTCTAAAGCATTGCCATCCCCTATGTCATCATCTGCACCTGGAAAACAGAAGTGACAAGAGAGCACGGGGAAGCTACATTCACTTAAAGCCTTAATCCAGAAGTGACAGATATCACTTTCCCCCACCTTCCACTGCTAAAAGTGATGCAAAGTCTATACAATACAATATGAAAACATTGAAAATATAAAAATTTAAAAGCAAGAGACATTTGTAAAGAGAATAAATTTAATTAGGTTAAAATACTCTTATCTATGGAAAAATTTTTAATGCAACAAAATTTTAACTGATATTATCTATGATTTTTCACTTTGTTTTGACTTTTTATATTTTAAATTTTTAGTGATTATTTTACTGCTTTTCCCTTGGTTTTTTTGTCTGCTTATCATAAAAGTTCCTTTAAGTAATAAAATATGACAGATGTAGTTGAAATCCCTTTACAATGTCTCCTGAGAACCCTCTCCTCACCCCAGAGAAAACCTTTTCTGGAGTTGGCGTATATTTTTCCTGATCAAGTATTTTACTCTGGGTATGCAAGTATGTTTGAATAAAAATCTATGATTACTGGAATTTTTTAAATTACTTGAATGGTATCCATTTTTTATTTATTTTCCATGTAACATTATCTATTCAATATATATCCACATTTATTCTACAGCTCTAGTTCATTTATTCCAACACTTCCATAGTGTTTCATTGAATGAATATAATACAATCCCTTCATTCACTATATATGGATATTTAGGGGTCTTCAATATTTTGCTATTCCAAAGAAATATTGCAGTGAACATTCTTTTATATGCTCCTTGTGAACTTGTGATAGATTCCCTAGAATATATTATCAGAAATGAAATTTGTTGGTCACAGGTTAGGATCATATGGAGGTTTATTAAATATGGCCAAATTGGTTTCTTATTGAGTTCATATTCTACTAGGAAAATATGAGGTTCAATTTTCCATACCTTTTGGCCAATTCTTTGACTTTTTCTCTATTTTTGCCAGTCTTACAGCATTTAATGATATTTCTGTGGTTTTAATTTTCCTTTCATCGATTAATTATAAGGTTAAACATTCTTATATTTTTGTTAGACGTTTAGACTTCATCTAATAACTGCCTATTTTAATTCTTTGCCATTTGTGTTTATTTTTTACTAATTGATTGCCAGCATTCTATATGTGTATGTATATATATATATATATTCTCAAAACTCAACTCATTTTAAAATATAAGCATCCCAAATGTCATTGCTGATTTTGTGGTCTGATATATTGCTTGACAAATTAACCTAAAAGTCAAACTGATATTTGCTAACTCTAGAGGGAAATAATTATTTTCAAGTTGTTTTTATTGTCATTAATACATGTAGTTCACTAAAGGAATTTCTTGGGACATAGATTCCACACAGATCAAAGAAAGACAAGCACTGAACTTCTCATAGTTCACCTTCCCTGTAGCTAAACATAACAGAATCTAAACATGCTGCCAACTGTCGAGGATTTTCGTACTGCTCATCCAGGCTTAAATATCTGCTAATTGAGATAATGGCTACAGTCCATCAGTTAATAGTATTTACAACAAAAACATATGGCCAGTACTTGGAAGGCCAGACATTAGCTAATGTGGGTCATTTCCAGATGATAAAGAGATCATTTATATCGTCCCTATGAATTCCGCTTGAGTACTGTGGCATCTCCCAAGCTTGACCTTAACAGTAGATATTGGTGGCTCCTTATGTGTTGACTATTGGGAGACTCTGAAAAAGCCTACTCGTTCATCACAGATTATGAGGTACAGACTGAAAGAAACTCTAGAGTTTGAGAGAGGTAGGGGAGAGATGAGAGAAAGAAGAGTCAGAAAAGATTAGAACAGAGATTGAGCAAATTAAGTCTACTTTAGCCAGAATAGGTGGTAGTTTATGCTACAACAATAACAGACAAACCCTAATATAATGACTTAACCCAATAAATAATTTTTCCTTGAGTACATTACATATTCAGCATGGGTTAGAGAAGGCTCTGACCAATGTAATTATCTGGGAGGTAAAAGCTTCTGTGATCATCAGAGCTTTCTCTCCAAATTGATATATATCGTTTCTGACCACACTTGGTTGTCCCTAGCAAATCTCATGGCCACCTATAACTTAACGGGAACTGATAGACTTTCCATGATATGCCTGGAAAGAAATTGGAAATATTTGATAAACAACATAGTGACTATATAAAACCATCATTCTGTTTATCAAATGTGGTTCAACTGCTTCACTCTCTGTCCCACAAAGAGAATACATCTACCCCTACTCCAAGAAAGACAGTCCAAAAATCCTACTCATGGGACTTCCCTGGCAGTCCAGTGGTTAAGATTGTGAACTTTCACTGCAGGGGGCATGGGTTTGACCCCTGGTCAGGTTCTAAAGATTCCCCATGCCACATGGCACAGCCAAAAAAAAAAAAAAAATCCCACTCTGTCATGGCATTAAGCTCAATACCTTGGCTTTCTGCATTACATTCATCAGTCTCTACCTCAAATTTGGATGTGGCTACTCTAGAAATGGAGACCTGCCAACTAAAACAAGTTAAATTCCAACACACACACACACACACATTAGGGTATACATAGGCTAATGCTGGAAGCAATAGGAGGCCAGTTCAGGAAGTTAAGAACTGCTGAAAAATACTAGTTTAGTGATTTTTCTGTGACTTTTATCAATGAGCAGGATCAGGAAGCAGTCTGGCATTTTATTCATGCTAAACTAGGCCTAGGGTGATACCTGGAAAGGATAGACACAAGGAGCTTCCAATGCTTTGCCAATTAATATGATGAAGTTAAAACCCTATGTAGCCTGTATAAAGATAGATAGGCAGCAGGATATGACACAATTTACTTTTATCCCAGGGATGTCTGTCAGTTTCTAGGTCTGCAAAATTAAATTCCCTTGTGGGCTAACTAAATTTAAACTCCAGGACTCCTTTAGCAAATGCGTTTCTCATCTATTTCTACCTCATTTTCTTCCCGTCTGTCCTGCCTGTGCAGTCTACAGCCCCTGAGCTCATTTGGACTGAAGTCTCATATCTGTGCTTCTGGCATCTAGTTTGTTTGGTCCCAACTGAGTTTTCCCCTACAGAAGATAGATCTATAAAAAGAGAGGGAATATTTTTCACAAGGATGGGGAACTTTCACAGAGCAACAGTTTTCATTAACTGATGGCACAGTTGGCTGAAAAATAAATGAGAAAGTATGGGGTATCTTTAATATGTAGATTACACTTCAAGAGCAGTAACACCAGGAAGTAAGGAAATAACCTTGTAACAAGTACAGAGTGCCAAACACCAAGGGGAATAAACAATTGAAAAGAAAAAAACCTGGGGAACTTTTAAACTGAAGTCAGTGAAGGAGGCTTGCCCTTGCTGTCA